ATTTTCACTTAATCTTCCACTAAGGTTACTCTTTTACCTTCCTTACGGCCACTTAATTCCAGGAAAAAAAATGATTTAAATGTAATGTCACTACATCTTCCTCTTCTTTTTATCATTTGTACCAGCCAGCCCCAAACCCTTTCACATCATATATAATTTTATTATCTTCTACCAACCTGATTTTACACCACTGCAGAACAAATGGAACTTGGACATCTTTCACAATGAAAGAACCACCATTGAGTAAATACTACGTACAAGATAATGTGCTGAGCACTTTACATGTATTCACTCATTGAATCTTGACAACAAATCCTGTGAGGTAGATATCTTTATTTCATGAATAAGGATACTGAGACTTAGTTAATTTCTCTCTCATTTATCTATTTATGATCTTGCAGTTATTAACTTCCTAAGTCTAAGTAGCCCAGGGACAAGCTGACACTTACCCATGTACTAATCAACTTCAATGATTGCTTTCCAACTCCTGGGCTAACTACTGACACTGCTCTGTTGAAGGTTACCAAAGAGCTAAACACCACTTGCCTCTTCACTGTTCACATCCCCTTAGAATTTCTATGGGATTTGATCCTGCTTATTCCTCATACATTTTATCTTTCTTTCCATCTAGATAGAAACACCCCTACTTTCAACTTTCCTTTATATTTTCACTCCTGGGTTCTTAACATACTTCTCATCCTCTCCTCCCTCCCTTATGGTATAGATGAACATACTCTAATTTCTTCCATATTAAGAAAAGTACACTCTTTCAATTCTGCCTCCCCTGCATAACCACTACCCTACTTTTCCTTTTTATTCCCCTGTGAAATAGAAGTCTACGTGTACTATTTTCCACTTTCACATCTCTCATTCACTCTCCAACCCGCTGAAATCTCAGCTCTACAATAAGCATTTCACTAAAACTGCTCTTTCCAAGACCAACATTCTCTAATTACAAATCCAATAAAGCCTGTTCAGTTCTTATCTAACATGACCTTTCTGAATGTTACCTTGGCACTGTAAACTCATTAGGCTTAAAAAATGAACTCATTGTCTCCACCTGCCACTCAACTTGCTTTTCCTTCAGAGTTTTCTAATATTTAACTAAATCTCAATTATCCCATTTTAGTAGGCTCAGGGCTTTGAGTTCTCTTCCACATCTCCCTTATACTCATCCAATCATCCCACCCAACTTCTCATTTCTACCTTGGCAAAACCCTTCATTAGTGGTTCTTAACCCAGAATGCACATTAAATCACCCAAGGAGATTTTTAAAAAATACTTGTTCCCAGACTCTAATCCTAAACCAATAAAGAGAATCTCAGAGAGTAGAGTTGGGTGTGGGTAATTTTTAGATCTTCAAGTAATTTAAATGACAACCAGGATTGATATCTATTTTTTTCACATTCTCCTCAGTGTGATAGTCCAAGCTGAGGCCCTCATTAACTTTCCCTGGATTATGTTAGTCCCCTCTAACTTCTCTTCAAGTGCACAGTCTCTCTTCTTTAAGACTTTCCATCACATTTTTGCTGAAACCTGTGAAACAAAACTTTGTAGTGCCCTGCTCACATACCTTCTAAAGTTCAATCACTTTGTATAACAGATAAAACCTTCCAGAAAAATGTCTGACATAGTGTATAACATTTATTAATTTGAAATATAATGAAGATTTAAAAAAATCAAAACAAATATGAAACACTTATGTCTCCTGTGTACCTACTTTTCATTGGCTAGCAGAATGCCCTGCAAATGTAGGGCATTAAAAAAAATCCATTGAATAGATTTTAAAGGCCATTTTAAAGGCTAAACTTCAGCTAACGTTTGATCTCACCAAATATGCATGTGCCTAGTAGGAATAAGTCAATTACATGCCAGATAATTGTGAGGTCTACACTACTTTTTAGTATCACGCAGTGCAATGAATAAAATCTGCTACCTCTACTCTTTTTTCAAAGTATTCTGTATATAAAACGAAAGAGAAGGCAAGGAAGGAAGGGAAAGATGGAAGGAAATGAGGGTAAGGAAGAAAGGAAGAAAACAAGAAAGGAGAGGAAGGCAGGTATGAAGGCAGAAAGGCAGAGACAAACCCTTACCTTAAAAAAATAGTAATGCTCTACTATGAGTTCTCTATGTGGGTAAGGGGAACAGGAGGGAACAGACACCCAATATGTGTCTCCCCAACTTTTCAGCTTCTCTGTGTCTTCCATCATTCTAATTCTCTCCACTTAAATGGGTCAATATGAGAAAGGGCTCCATGATGAAAAATACTACTTGATATTTTTGCATATGTTGCTCTTTCAGATGGATATATGATCATGAATTGAGAAAATGATCAACATTTTTAAAAGATCATGTCCCACTTAATCATTGTGCTATTAGCCATTGTGTATTATCAAAAGTCACAACCTACTTGTATAGCATTCCCTTGCTGATTGAAATAAAGAACAGGACCAAACTCCCTTTTTATTTCAACCATAGATGCAGATTCTCAGACCTCTTCCTACCCATTAAGGCCAATTCCAAATTTGAAATCTTATATGGTACTGTCTGATGTTAAAACTGGAAGTTTCCATTGTGTTAAGGCAACAAGAATGTATAAAAATAAAATAAAGCTATAGGATGTTATTCCATAAATAGAGAACTTCAAAAAAGTCATCACAAATCAGCCACTCATTGACCCATAGACTCTCATGATCTATTCTATGTTATGACATACTGAAGTAGGTGTTTACCAAATTAATTAAAAAGAATAAGATCGTATACACACACACATAAACACACCCAAAGTGCATGTGAAACCAGTGAAATCTGAATAAGGTCTGTATTTGAGTGGATAGTGTTGTACCAATGTCAATTTCTTGGTTTGGTAAGATGTTATCACTGGGCGATAATGGGGAAAAGGATACACAGAAGTCCTCTGAGCTATTTTCATAACATTGGAAATCTTAAATTACTTCAAAATAAAAGCTAGTTAAAGTAATTTTTAAAGGCTAAATCATAGCCATATTTTATGTTTTAATTAACATTTCCATATATGGTTGACCTTTGAACAACGCTGGGGTCTGGGGAGCTAACCCTACATGCAGTCGAAAATCTGCGTACAACTTACAGTCCATCTTCCCTCTATGCGGTTCCTCCATACCCAAGGTTCTGCATCCCTGGAACCAACCTCAGATTGTGTAGTACTGTAGTACTTAATGTTGAAAAAAATCCATGTATAAGTAGACCTGTGCAGTTCAAACCTATGTTGTTCAAGGGCCAACTGTATAATGAATTTCAAAGGATAAACAGTCATTATTTTCAACAATTTTTATAATAAAATGATTTTTGTATATTGCTAGCAAAATTTTGCCAGTTTTGCTCACAGTCAAGATGTGAGCAAGTGGCACAAGTGTAGATATATCTATTTCAATTGTTTCTTAGCAAAGAAGCAAGTCAAATATTGGAACCTTGTGTAAATGGCAAGATTTGCCATGGATTTTTATAAAAAGAAGATTGAAGAATTTATGTCAGCTTCCCCATAAACTCAGAGGTTTTCCTAGATAGTAACTGAAGTGCTTTTAAGATAAAACACTGGAAAATAGATTCTCTGAATGTAACTCATGAAAAAGAGTCCATTTTATATTCCAATTTTATTCGCCTTTTCTGAAGAGTCACAACATTAATCTACTGGGGATAATCTAGTTAATATATTTGAAATTCCATTTATTTTTTTCTATTGATATGCATGTATTACACTTGAATATAATACAGAATTTCCAGTGTTGTTTTAAGGGACATAGTTTAAAAAATGAGAGGCATGATCTATAATTTCAAACCTAGGACAAATTCATTATTTCCAAAATAATATAGTTTTCCACTTTGTTCCAAAGAAATTAATGATACTATTACTGATGCAGAAACTCCAGCACAACTGTTACTCCTTTCTTTATGAGTTGAGACAGTCTTGAACCATTGCAAAATTCACTCAGAGCCATCTAGTTGTATAGGCATAATTAAAATGGAAGGAGAAAGTCATTCCATTCCATGGACTTACGGGGCAGTATAGTTTACTTTAGTTCAATATCAAAAGCATACTTTACAAATTTAATGTTTAACAAATTTTACACTTTTAGTCATTCTGCCGAGAAAAGATTCTGGGTAATGTCTTGGTCTTTGAAAGTTGTTATCAATTTAGCCTGGAGAGCTTTGGTCTGTATGTCAGCCTCCATCATGGAAGTCAACATATACCTAATTGGCCATGTCAGTGAGTTTTAAAAAACAAAAGATGTCCACACCTTCTCTAACATAATGGAACTTCTAATAGGACAATTTCTGAAGTATCTTCCTATTAGTCTAAGATGAGTAAAACATAGAAGCTCCTCCCCCTTTACATTCTTTCAAACTATACCTTTATACAATATCCAGAATGGCTATGCAATTTCCATTCTTCTCTCCCTCCGCATCACAAATGAAACAAAGCAGATGTAGTATAAAATTATACATTCTGCGAGTAACTTAGAAAAACAAGTACATACATGTTTAAGGCCTTGAAATATTTATAAGATTTTCCTGTAGAACTGAAAACCACAAATGTTAAAAGTACTACGAAAACGTGGACAAAGACTGACTAAAGAAATTGTTTGAACGGGACAACTGTAAGCAAATATTTATAAAATTTAGACCAAGGAAAAGAACAATTTATTCTACCAACAGACTGAATAAACAAACAGATAGGCATTCAAACAGTCATTGGGATAGAGCAAGAGACAGCCTTTTTAGAATGAGATAGAAAGGACAGTTTAAAAAAATACTAGAAGAAATCTAAGTGAATAACTTTCAAGCTAAGAAATCAAAACCCACGTGCATCCTTGGCAATTTTTTGAAACTGAAGGTTACCTAAATACTTGACTGCTCACTGCTAATTTCTGTGAAGGGAAAAAGTAAAGATAAAAATGAAAGAAAAAGCCCACTTAAAAAAAAAAAACAAAAAAAACTGAAAGGGAGAGTACTCTAGAGGTACCAAACAGGAGTATATAATGAAAATGGTAATTCAGTTCTAACTACTACCTATTTTACTGACAGAGAGCTGCAGCAGTGTGTTAGCCTTGGGGAAACATGTCAGCTTGTCTATACATTCTTATATGATTGATGTATTCAGATAACTTTACTTGCCAACAATAATTATTATCAATGGATATATATTTCCATTCCTTTAACAAAAGCAACTTTAAGATGTTAAAACATGTAGGCTTTCAGAGCTTCAAGATTAGGATACAAATAAATTGTCTCAGTCTACACCATGCCAGAGGAGAAGTTCGCAAAGGAAAAGTCACTGAAGCCATGTGCAGTCCTAGCCACTGAACACAGGACTCAGGAACAGGTCCATGACAGAAGGCCAGTGCACTTGGGAGACTCAGAAACAAGAAAAGCAGTCACATTTGGAGCCAAGAGCCCAAAAGGTAAGTGTCTCTGACACCATCCGGCAACGCCAACTCTTCAGACAGTAACTTCAAATCCTTTTTGCAAGTGCAATTATACAAGTTGAACACAGTTCAAATCTGATGAAATCTTCATGATATAGAAGTTCATGTCGGACTTTTAAAAAGTCTTGATTCCAAGAAGAAGCTGATTACAAGCCATGAAATCCCCTGGAAATAGCAGACTCCAGAGTGCCTCTTGTGAGCTGTATAAAAATTTTCCTTCAAGATCACCTCATGAGTTATGTTTCTATGCTGATGTTCAGTGTAATCAGCCTTGAGGATCACTTGATTTATCCTTTGTTAATGGGTTACCTGCAAAAGAAGAAGAAAATAGAATCATTTCATAACAGCCAGCATCTTAACACTCTACACAATTAAGTATTAGAAATGAATATGTAACTCAAAATGCTGTATCAAATAAATTATTGAATTTTAAAGGACTACCATATTTAGGTATTTATAGCTTATTAAAAGAATTATTTTCTCTATTATTTCATAATATTTTTAGAGCCCCTTGAACTATTATCCAAATGACTCCAACGGTGACCAGGAAGATCTTAACTGGTGATCTTTGCCCTTTCAGATCTGAAGAATGATTCTGGAATCCCTGTTCTTTGCACAGGCTTGGTGGACATAATAACCCAGAGATCATACACATCATGCCAGGAGTCAGTGAAGAAAGGCCTTTGGCCTCAGGGATACAATCAGACCCCATCTTCAAGAAAGCCCTTGAGATCTGGTTGCATAAAATCCATTCTTGAAGTAGTTTAAAAGTTGAGTGCTTATTGACTCAACTGTATTTCAGAAAATTAGCCATTCGTAAGGCAAAATAAACCCTATTATTTTGAGAGAAAAACAATTAATGATAGTACAATCCTTTACCAAATTTTAAAGGTGCCCAAATTTCTCATGGAATTGATTACAGCAGTATTATTAATGCTATTATACATTACTGAGGCAGATTCACACTGGATTTTTACACCTACTCAAGTCCAGAGAATGTTTGTATGCAGGAAAAAGGAATAATAGCTAGCTAGCTAGAATACCTGATACATACACAGATATCTCTATATGCATATGGAAGGAAGATGATATAGAGAGATAGATTTCTGCTGTGTCAATGAATTTCTAGTTATGCTCTTAATATCACAGTACTTAGAGTTGCCTAACAGTTCTTTTGCAGCAATGGTGAGTAACAAAAAGTGAGTTTTTAAAAATTATTGTGGATACTTTGGTTTTATTTCATTAAATGACATAGTTACTTGTCTTTTCATGAAACATTTGCCAAAAGACTGGGTTTTGTTTGTGTTGTTTATTGTTGTTCAGTCAACTATGAAAAATAGGAACATTAAACAAAACAAGAAAGGCAGCTCTAGATTTTGCTCTGCCATAGCTGGTCTCCACAGGAAGGTATAAAATTCAAATAGGTAGGTTCTGCATGGAGGCAGCCTTCATATCTGTGTCTCGTTGGTCAGCTACCCCTCCCAAAGAAGGAGCTTCTGTCTGTGTATCTGTAGCTGCTTATGCCCATGCACAGAGAAACTATGGAAGGAATGGAACTGTGGGTGGGAAGATACAGATGTGAAGGGTCTGCTGGCCTCTAGAGATTCTGGGAGCGGGAGATATCTCCGATAGGGAAGCAATTTCATTATCAATTTGTCTGCCATTCAATGGTCATTTTATACAAGTTGTGAGAATGGCTCCCAGCCTGGGAGTCAGTGTAAGAAGGTGGGGAGGAAATGTGAAGAGTGCTATGGACATGATGTTACAGGTTGCTGATGCAGATGGCTGATCACTGTGAAAAACACAGAAACGTTATTTTTGTGATACACTTTGTTGACAAACATTGATTTAGTACAATCTGATTTCCACTGGCTGAGAAAATTCACCTGCCTTTTCTGAAAACTCTCTTAGTAGGCATCATTATGAAACATAATATGGGGACCAGTGCTTGAAATGACAGGAACAAAAGAGGAAGAGAACAACTGGTTTAGCCTCAGGAGAGGTTCAACACGGGCAACTGGAGGGGCACACTGCAATGACTCCAGGAAAGCAAGTGACACGTCCTCTTGAGCCACCGCAAGCCCAGGTTCCAAGTAATCTCTTGGTGGGTGTGGCGGACGCATTCTTACATCTTCATTCCAAGGTAAGTATTTCATCCTGCTGGTTTATATAAAGCTGAGGAGTGATTCTCTCAACCATTTATATACTTAAAGCTTTATTTTCACATAATTTTAAAAATAGACATCAAATTGACAGTATAATACCAAAGGTTTATATATCTGTAATAAATCTTTCTTCCATGTCAGTAGAGGAAACATATAAGTATACACAAACACATAACTATACAATCCACATGCCCCAGAATATCATATATACACATTTTTATCATGCTGTGTTTCTATCAGCTAAAATAATTGCTAGAAAACCAAACTTCAAACATGATTTAAAGAAGTGATCGTCTAAATAAGCATGGATTGAAACATAATGAAAGCTTTTCCTTATTCTCCAATTTCATGCACTATTTCCTAGTTTCCTAGTTTATTAATCCTAAAACATCCACATTTTATGAGATCAAGGGTAACAGACAACTTGTTTTCAGTATGATTTTTGTAAATCATTTGATCTTGATCAGAGGACTGTTGTGGTCTGGCACATAGAGCTCTGGATTTAGGTCAGTGTGGCAAGAACACTAATCACACTGGCTGTGTCATACAACCTCTGGGAGCTTCCCATGTGTAAAATGGGGATAATCTTGTTAGCCTCACAGCGTTGCTATGAGGATCGAATTATTATACTTATGAAAACCTAGCTTTGTCAACTATGAAGTACTATAAAAATGAACGTTTTAGAGTTGGGATCAGTTTTTTTCAGTGCATAAATGTTTAACAAGAAAACCACTAAAAGTAGAATGAGAGGATCCCACTAACAGACAGACATTCACTCTCAAGTTAGAGGACTACACTTAAGGAATTCAAACAAAGGCTGTCATAATTTGCCCATTTCAACGAAGTATAAATATATCAGTGCTCTCCCTGACAACTTCCAGATTTGTACCAAATGAAATGGCAAAGCCAAAGATTTAAAAACATGTAGATGATTCGGAATACAGGTACATTGTCACCAATTTTCATCACCTAATATGAAAGGTCCAAATAACACTTTAAAATTATTGTCTAAAATTCAGTACAAAAAAACGCTTTTATGATTTATGTGCGCATTAAGTCCAAGTGAATCATGTTTAAATTATGACATGCTAATGGAGGAAAAAGGATTGCCATTTTACCCTTTATAGATGATAAACTGGAACTTCCTGATACGAAAGAGTTGCTTAAACAATACTTATACAATCCAACATTTAAAAATTTTGCTGTCATTTAAGAGTAAGCTTTTAGTACATCAAATTAAGCACTGCCTTATTTTTTAGAACTTAAATATTACTCTCTTTTCACTCAAGCCCATCTTTTGGAAGAGGCCAACTAGCAAAAGTTTTACCTTCAAAGGAGGCTTTTCAGCAAGTTTTCAGTGACTAAAAGCAGGAGGTTGCAATAGGATCACTTTTACCGGATAGGAAATAGCATTTGCTACCATGAATTCGCTGTCTTCTCGTTCTGAGGGCAATAGATGTAAAATACTGCATGAGGGAGAGAAATGGTCCTACAATCATGACGGTTATGCCTTGAGCTTCATACACTGTAATTACTATCTCAGTAAATTTGCCTTTCCAAAGGCAGTATTTTACACAGCTGTTCTTTTTCATGCAAATTTTGTGTGTGCTGCACACCAGCCAATTCGATAAGTGAAACTACTTGGCTGCTGAACACATGCAATAATAAATTATTATTACTATTATTATCAATATTATTTCATAAAGCACAAAGCTATCTTGGTAATGAGCCACCAGGTTGAAGAAGCTAATCTGGTAACATTAAATAAAAAGCACTGATTCTTTAAGATGAGAGCATCCATTTATTTCTTCCAGTCCAACAAGTCTACTACAGGGCTCTGATTAGATTTCTCAATAATTTATGCTAAAATCATGTCTTTTTACATCTGTTCACCGATTTAAATGGCGAAACTAAAACCAGGTAAATGGCATATAAGATGCTATATTTAAAATGAAGTGAAGTCAACTATTTTAATACTGCCTGTCTTCATTTTGACCATTATGTTATATGTTCTGCCCATCTTCAAGGTAAGATAAATTAGAAAGGCTAAAAAAGGTAAAAAATTACAGAATCCATTCTGTCCCCAAGTGCAAAAGATGCTTTTATAAAGTTCTTAAAATCATTATATTCATGGAGCCTATAGTTCTTTTTCCCTGTTCAAATCATGCTGACTAGGTTGCCAATGGGAAACAACACACTATGGTAAGAGGCATAATGACAAATAGTGTGGGCTGTGCAGACAGGCTGCCTGGTTTCAAATCTCTGCCTTATCACTTTCTAACACTGTGAGGTTGATAAATTATTTAAACCCCCGAGCCTTAGTCTCCCATGTGAAATATAAAAATGGTATTATCAGCCCTCATATGTTTGCTATTGTGATTAAATCAGATAATCCCTGCCAAGTGTCTGTCCAGGCAAATGCTTTTTAAATATTAACAGGTGGTAGCAGTAGTAATTCCCAAATAAGACACAAAAGGTGATGCATAGGATGCCTATGGGAGGGGGCATTATTACTTCTTGTTTCTCTATAAACATTGATTTAATTAGTAAATTTGCTGTGTCTTATAGTAACTAAATTTGTAATTATTCATTTCGTATGCTGTTAATCAAAGTCATATATCAAGATGGAAGCACCATTGTTTTAGCTGGCTTTGGGAGAGAGACTGTCTTTTCAGACAAGGTGATAGAAAGTATGTAATGGTTAAAAAGGTTATACTTTGAAGCCAGGCTGTCTAGGTTCAGTGCTTATTTCTGCTGATAACTCAGCATGTGACCTTGAGTAAAACAGCTATAATATTAGTACCTAAATCATAGAGTTGTATGAGCTGAGGAGAAAATAAGTTAATTGGTCAAATGCTTAGAACTAATATTCTAAGGCACATAATAAGCATTATGTAAGTGGTAACATTATTCAGATATGGGTACATTTCTACGCACCTAAACACATTGAATTCCTACGTTTGCCCTCGATTATTTCTGAGCATAAGTTACTAATTTTTACAGGCAATTGCATTATTTGTTTTTCTAGTGGACCAGCTGCCATCAGACTCTACATGCAGGAAAAATATTTAGGAAACTAGTACTACACTTTAACCACCTAGGCGTAGAAATAAATGTGGTATAATTATGCCAAACAAAATGCAG